TATTGGAATGTTTCTCAGATGTTAACTCAGATAACTTGGATTAGATGTATATTTAATAATGTTTAGAGTTGATCCACTGAAAAAACAAAATTGTTAAGTTAGTTGTTACTAACTTGCCCCCATTGATTTTAATGGACCAAGGCAGTCCTCCACCTGTGTTGAACCCATTGTACCCACTGAATTGGTACAAAGATTGTCAATTCAGTATTAAACAGGATTTGTAGCACAAAATGTAAATCTAATTACGGAATAAACTTACTTGAAGAGAAGTACAGTCATCAGTCTTGTTTCAAAGGTAAAGAGCTTAGGGAAATTTGTCTTTAATAACATGTTCCTCTCTTCCACTTTCAGCTGTGTTAGTGGACTTAGTTCTTTGGACTTCATTAACAGCTAAATTCACTATTGATCTACATGGGTATTTCTTCTGAAGAAGGATCTTTGGGGCTTCTAAATGTAAACAGTGCTGCATATAACCATTCTGTAGTTATCATTTGCATATCTGCATTGATTACAATAGCTATCCCAACCTGTATCTCCAGTTGTTATATACTTTGACCTATATCCTGCTAACCTAAACCTCCAAAGTGTGGTTTCTCACAGTGAAGATTACTGGGACTCTTAAATACCCTAGGACAGCACTACTGAGATTGTGTGTCTCTGCTGATTTGTTTCTTTTGTAATTTCCCCCCCTCTCTTTGTTCTTGCTTGTTCCATATTTGACTTTCCCCTTTTTGTTTTGCCTTATTTTATAGAGACCAAATGAGAGACTTAGCACACCACCTGAAAGACCAAGGGAAGAACCAGTAGTATTGGATGAAACCCCGGTTAGTACATGGCAATATTGTGGATTTCTACCTCTACATACTTCATGGTGTTGAAACAAATATACCTCAAAATGTGATGCTTGATTACCAGAAATGTCTTGAGCTTGTTGGGTCAAGGTTTGAGGAGGTCATGACACAGGACAGGTTCCTGGCTGTCCTAGAGCAGTTTTTCTCAGAGGGGTGGAAGGCGTCTGAGAGAATGTAAGGGCCCAAGACCTTGCTACAGAGAAGGGTTTATATGATGAATAGACTTCGTATGTGTGCTGGAGCAATCAGAGTGATTTAAAAATGGAGATTCCTACTTATTGATCACATGAATTTCATTTGGTCCGCTCATTAAGACTTCATATATTTGCCTGTAACTAAACCAGTAGTTTTGAAGCAAAATGTTTTCAGGTGATCCATACACATGTCACAATCAGAACAATCTCTGAAGAAGCATTCTTCCTTAAAGATGATGAAATCTTTTTTTTTTTTTTTTTTTTTTTTTGGAAATTACGTACGTTGTCTGAAGTTTAAATCATTCTTCAATTGTTGCCCAGTTAAATGGAGGAACATTTTTTAAGTTATTTTAGAAAGCCTTTTAACTGATGTATCTAACTGATTGATGAAAGGTTGTAGCCAATCCGAAAAAGGAAGATATAGATAACTCCACAAAAGCAGTTTTTATATACTTAGTCTTTCTTTCAGCTATAAAAAAACTAAATACAAGAGCTCTGAAAGATATTATAGTACTTACATTTGCTGGGTACTTCACATTTGTTTGTGAAAGGTCTGTTTATCCTGGGGTGGACAAAGTATGACTATTTTCTGGCTCGCAGGGGATCAAAAATAATATTTGGCTGATTTGGTCCCCTAGCCTTCCACAGTTACCCACCCCTGGTTTATCCACATGTTCCATAATTTCATATATTGTATATGTGCAGAAAGTCTGGTAGGTAACTTCCCTTCTACCTCTTTATTATTTTTGTGTAGGCACAGCAAGTCTCTCCTTCTCATCCAACACAAGTTGCAAGCGATGTTGAATTTGAGGTTGGAGATCTTGTCTGGTCCAAAGTAGGGACATATCCGTGGTGGCCCTGCATGGTTTCAAGAGACCCACAACTTGAGGTTCATACAAAAATTAACACAAGAGGTAAGAAAATAAGAATTCCTAGTAGGTGCATTAGAAACCTGTCACGTGTGGCTAACTTTTTTGATGATTTTGTTCATACCTCCCTTAAACTCAGACGTCAAAACATATGTTGCACTATCAATATTTATTTATTTAAAATCATTTTTAAACCAAAGAGGAGCTACACAAACATCATTCAGTGTGTGGGATTGATCCTTGGAGGCAGTCCAGTTCCTGGGAACAATCCACTTTTTAACCTTTTCTAATATACTTTCTTTTCATGGTACAACTCTATAGGATAGTTCAGTATTCTCCCCAAATTATAGATAGAAAAGATGAGGCTAAGAGATTGTCACTTGCCTTGTAAACAGATAGCCTTTTAAACAATTCCTGGGGAGTATCCCATGTTCTCACTGATGCTAATGGGATCTACTTAATCTTCCCTGAGGATTTTTTTACATAGGTAAAGTTGCATCTTGTTTAACCAGATCTCTTTCTTCAAGGAGTAAAGTTATAGTACAAGTGGCCATTAAGAGCAAAGGGTTGGATTGAACCAGGCTCATCATAGTGCACTCAAGCATGTTGCAATCCTGATTCATTGCACCCTCCTATGTGCACTCATTGAACGTAGACCTCAGTGCTTTGTTGACAGTCTTACTAGAATGGGCATTTTCTATCAGGTTGTATATGGTTAGATCTACATCCTATGAGGCCTTGTTCCTGTACCCTGTGACTATTCAATAATTCCTCCAATTAAAGGATAAAATGGAACATTTAAATTTTATTCCCCGTGCAACTGAGAAAAGGTATGGGAAGGTATTTGTTCCAAAACATAAAGGAGGTAGTGTTGAAAGATTTCTTAGCAGAATGCTTTCTGTCAATTTCAGGTGCACGCGAATATCATGTTCAGTTCTTTAGTAACCAGCCTGAGAGGGCATGGGTGCATGAAAAGCGGGTACGAGAGTACAAAGGACGTAAACAATATGATCAGTTGGTGGCAGAAGCGACTAAGCAAGCCAACCACTCTGAAAAACTAAAGGTGAGTATGATCTGAAATTACTGTTGCTGCATATCTTCAAGACATTTCCAGCTTGTGGCGATCCTGAGGCAAATCTATCACAATGCTTTTTGACAAAAAATTGTTCAGAGGAGACTTGCCATTGCCATCCTCTTAAAGCTGAGAACATGTGACTTGCCTGTGGTCACCCAGTGGGGTTCCATTGTCCAAGCAAGGAATTGAACCCTGGTCTCCTGGAGTCCTAATCCAATATTCAAACTACTTTGCCAGTTGGATGAGAGAATTAGTTCAGATTATTTCCTTGGGTTGCTTATATAGGTACTTTGCCAGCCAGGGTAGGAGGTTGCTCCTTAGGCTTACCCCCATGGCTAACAGGAGCAGGAAAGTAGTGCCAGCAACATTGCTTCTGTGGTTCTGAATGTAAAGTTTTCCATTTCAGTCACGGTATTTCAATATTGATAAAATCCTGTTTAGACACCTTTGTTAGAGAATGTGAGTAAGCCTTTTATATTTTTGAAATTCTAGAAACGAGGGAGGAAAAGTGAGTTAAAGACATTTTCAGATCATCTTAACGGTAACAGGACATAAGGGCTAATGAATTTCCTTTGATTTTTTGGGATCCAGTCTAAATCTAAAGGTCTAGTCAGTATTGACCTCTCTTGTTTACCTGTTGCCTGTTCTTTGCTTGCACTTGCCTAAATGGCAAAGAGAAGTCTAGAACAGCTTCTGTTTTTTTCAGTCAGTGTTACTAGTCTGTGTTCTGCATGCAGCCATTTAAAAACCATAAAAGTATCTGCATGCACCATCCATGAATGAACTGGAATAACTTATTTCTTCCATTGTGGGAGAAAGGCAGGATATAAATCCAATAAATAAATAAACTTAATGACAGTGTCTTGAAGCAGCCCAGATTTTGACACTGGGCACAACTGAAATGTACTTGCTTATCTGGATGCACAAAAATGGCATTTGCTTAGTTTCAAACTAACGAACTACTTTTAAACATTTTTTTAAAACTGTGTGCCCTATCTATCCAGCCGCAATACTGTTAATTTGATTTTTACCACATCTCTTCTGTCCATGAGTTTCCAGGCCCAAATGTTATCTAAAGATACAGTGTGGTTGTCCACTAAGATAGGGAACTGAGAATGGGAATTTGGGGTCTGAATTCTTTGTCAGCTGATGAGAGATGTTGGCGGTATGCTGTGGGTATCATCATGTGTACATTCTGAATTCTGCTGACTGTTCCAGTGTTTCATACTTCTCTTACATGATTGGCCTTGTGTACATGTGAGCCCTGAGAGATTCAGCACATGTATTGCAGTGATATATTCAGAACAGAGAAAATTGTGGCTGTATACAAACATTTTGTTATCAACTGGGTATTCTTAGTAAGTGGAAATGAAAACATGCAGTAAGCCTATCTTCTTTCCTCCTAAGATTCGCAAACCAAGGCCACAGAGAGAGCGTGCACAGTGGGATGTTGGCATTGCACATGCTGAGAAAGCATTGAAAATGAGCCGGGAAGAGAGGATAGAACAGTACACCTTCATCTATGTAGATAAGGAGCCTGTGGAGGCTTTGACAAAAGCCAAGAGAACTGGTGTGCCTAAGACAGAGCCTAAAAAGAATCGGCGATCTAAACCATCACCTAATCCACAGCCAGAACAGACCAATGAAGTTTTGGCAACTTCCTCTCCATCCAATACTGAGGTGCGAAGACATAGTCAGAGAAGGCAGCCTAGTGTGGAAGAAGAGCCACCTCCTGTGAAAATAGCATGGAAGACTGCTGCAGCCAGAAAATCCTTACCGGCATCAATAACCATGCATCAGGGCACCTTGGACCTTCAGAAATGTAATATGTCTCCAGTTGTTAAAATTGAACAAGTTTTTGCTCTTCAGAATGCTGCTGGGAATGGAAAGTTCATTGATCAGTTTGTTTACTCTACCAAGGTAAAGAGATGTGTATATCTGTAAAGGGCATAAATGTGCAGTGAATTAAAAGCTTTAAATACAGTCCTTTGCTTGCCTACTCTTGTTCCCAGAGGCTGTGGCTTAACTGACAGAGCATTTTTGTATGCAGAAGATCCCAGGTTCAATCCCTGGCATTTTGGCAGTCTCTGGATGAGAAAAAAACTCCTCCTGCTTAAATGAAGCCTTAGAAGAGGATGCTGCCAAGGGATGACAAACCTGTAGGCCTCAAAATGTTGCAGGACTACATCTACCACAATGGTGCTGTGTGGAACTTAAGAAGTTAACAACAACATCTGGAGGTCCACAGGTTCCTCACCTCTGAAGCAGACAAAATTAAGCCATACGGCCTGATTCAATATAAAGGCAGTTTCCTATGTTCCTCTACCTTTAAGGGAAGGCAAAGGACTTGCTGCTTTTCAATCTGTAGCATCTCCATTTAGAGCAGGAAAAAAGTGCCTAAAACCAGAGAGAGCTAATTGATGGCAGTCAGTGGACTGGGTGGAATAGTGGTCTAACTCAGTATAAGGCAGGCAGCATGACAATTCCAAAGTAAGCCCATTGAACTGAGACTTATTCCCAGATAACTGTACATGGGATAGGAGTCTTAATCCTATATGCTTATTTATGTTTCAGAATGTTATCTTTGCAAGCTAAAATACTTGAGTGAGTTGTCTTGTCTGTAAAATGTCAGGCTTCTGTACTCACCAAACTGATTTTCTATACCAGTGTTTCACAAACTTGGGTCCCCAAATATTGTTGGCTATCACCTTCCAGAAGTCCTATCAGCATGGTCAGTGGCCAGAGATTTTGGGAATTGGTCTAATTTTCACAAATTATGGTTTTGATGTAAGGCCTTCACCATAGTTTGCTAATATGAGCATCACACTAAGCTTTAATGACCCCCCCCCCCCAAAAAAAGCACCTTCCAGAAAGTAGAGGAGGGACATTCAAGGGAGAATGATGGAAAGGAGTGAGGAAGTCTGTGGTATGGTTCTTTTCTGACTCTTCACACCCTGCTTTAGAAAATCAAGTTTGAAATTGTTGTGCAAAGGACGAAGTAAGTCAGTCCTTGTGTGTGTTTCCCAGGTTGTAGTTCGCTGTTGTTGGACAGAGTACTAGGCTAAGTGGCCCTTGCCTAATCTTGGAAGGCAGTTCTTAATTGGTCTAATTTTCACAAACAGATAAGAAAATAACCCTGTACCTGGACTGTACAACTTAAAATTGCAGGTGGTGACTCACATGTCCTGTCTCAATTCTATGAATATCGAAAACTGGCATGATTGTGGTGGAATTTAATCATGTGAACCATTGCCTGCAATCTTGAATGAAACCGTCAAATACAGTCATTCTGTCTGCTGTTTTATAGGACCATGGGCATGAATACTCTGAGGATGGCAGATGTTTGGGAAGGGAATAAAATAGGTATACAAAATGGGATACATAAGAACCTGCAGTGGGTAGAGGAAACCCGGCACAGGGAGAATCTCTGCATGCCTGTGCCATTCATTCTCTCATGCTTCCACCAATAGGTGATACTCCCCACACCCAACATAGCAACAGGCACATATCCCCCCTTATTTTCAGGCATCCCCCAATATGATTGTCCTGGTCTCTCACATGCAAATAATACATTTTTGTAATGGGCAGGAAACCTGAGTAAAGCAGAATGGGCATTTTTCATCCTTTCTCTGCTCCCTAGCCTTTGGGAGCCCTATCCCTCTCACTTTTGATTCCCCCCCCTCCCCAGTCATCCCCATTTCTAATCTTTCTTTTGAATTATTTTGTTCTTTTCCCATGCACATTCTTTATCTTCCTCTCACCTTAACTCATTGTTCCTGTGCCACCTTTCTCTTCCCTTAATATATGGCATTTCTGGGACAGCTGGGCTTTCCTACATTAGTGGCTAAAAAAGTCAGATGAAGCAAACTGGATGGAGAGGTCCATTAGCACATTGATAGCATGGAAGCTGTTAGCCACTTAGTATGTGTGTCTATGCTAGCTTTCATGGCCACAACACACATGATAACTAACATAAGTTGCTAAACACCTCACTATCCCAGTATTTTGGGGCAAGACCTTGCGAGACTTCAGTCTCAATGAAGATCTACATTTTCAGCTCTTCCCTCCCAAAGGTGTAGAATTATTCTCACACTTTGTGTGTGTGTGTTTTCTGCTTTATCCACAGAATTGTGTATATATGTGTATGCTTACACCACAAACTCTCTGCCAAAATAATTTTAAAGGGTGCTTTTCTCAGTGTAGTAATTGACCAAAATATTTTTCCAGTTCTGACTGACATTTTGTTTTTGATTTGTAACAGGGTTTAGGAAACAAACCAGAAATAATAATCAAGGGACACGACAAACTTACTTCTATCTCAAGCCAGCGAAATGAGAAAGCCTCTTCACAGAGATCACCCTCTCCTGAAACATCTTCTGGGTTGGCAAGTAGGTAAAGTTTAAGACTTGTGGGTTAAGTCCAAACCGCAGACACAAAATGGTGACTTCGGTGTCTGGAAAATATTTTAGCCATTAGTATTGTTCAGCAGTGTCATATCTGTAGCTAATGTGGAATTCAGAATGCTTGTGGGGAAAATGTTTTGGATTAAAGGACTTTTATGACACAGTGCTGCAGCAATCTTTAAGTAATACACAAGTTCTAAAACTGCATTTGTTTCAGTTGATTTTAAACCTAATATGTGCGTTTCCTCCAAGGATATCAAGCAAAATGCATGGAATGAATCCATTTTTGTCCTGTCTACAACCCTATGAGGTAGCAAGTTCCAAAGGGGCAATTAATTATCAATCATAATTAATTAAACTGTGAAAGAGTTCTATAATACTTTATGTAGGAACCAGTTTGTTTTGGCTTTTGTGCAAAGAGTAACTAATAAAGTAAATGTTTATGCCACAATAAATCAGCAATCCTTTAACTGACAACATAAGATGCTTTGTTGATGGTCTCCTGCAAAGTAGGTTAATCTGTAACAGTTTCATGGCTGTGTTGATACTAGAATTTGAGGTTTCCAAGTCCATCCATTGCTCCATAGTGTCTTTTATTTAAGGCTTCTCTTGCACTGGATAGTCAGATTCCATTCCATCCCATATGTAATAGCACATTTTCTGTTATTTATGAATTTCAAATGTTCATGGAGCAGGGCTGGGCAAAGTGCAGTCTGCATGTGGCTAGGGCTATTTTAGGCCCCCAAGATCCCCAAGAAATGAAGAAAAATATTTTGCTCTAAAATGCCCCAAATTATCCCCCCCAGCCTAAATGAAATTTTGCACGTTTTTGTTTTTTAAAAGAAAAACCAAAATAAAATGTGCTCTAGGAGCCCAGGAAAGTCCAAAAATGTGCCCCCATGTCCCTTAACAGGGCTTTGGAGGGCATTTATAAACCCCCCAAAAAAACTTTTTTGGGGGGTCTGGAACAGATGTGGTGGTAGATGCAGTTCTCCAGGTCTTCTGGAGGATTAATGCAGCCTCTATTCTTCTACAGTTGCCCACCCCTACTAGAGTGTAGTATGTTTAAAATCTCCTTTACCTCTTATTCAGTACTTCAACATTTGGCAGGGTAGTCATAGAAGTTAGTTCTGTCCAAGTTTATCAGCACAGTTAAGTGTCTCCTGCATTTTATTTTTCTTATTTTTATTTTAAAATTCTTCCTGTGAATTAGGATTGGAAGTGGGAAGATTGTCAGAGAGGATAGAGATTTGGGTTGCATGTGCCCATCTTCATTCTGATACTTGAAACAAACTGTAGCAGATGTTCAGATTTTAGATAAAGCTTCAGGATTTGGTAAAGGCTAATACAATTTGGAAAGCTCTGGGAACAGTTATAAAGGAAGTACCTTAATGCAGAATCAGAACAATAGCGTGGTTTCTTTTGTGCTGTCAAATTCTGACTAGGGAAGAAGTCTGATGTTGTTCCCTCCAGCAAAGATCTGTGGGCGATTGAACTTTGGGACTCATATACTTGAAACACTTATTAGACTGGCCTGTATTTTCTTCTGTGAGATGTAACTTACCGTATCAGTTTTGCTGAATCCCTTTGCCCATCCATCCAGAGGAGGAAATAGCTAGTACTGCAGTAACAGATGGACTGATGAATGCAACCAAACATGAGCTGACCTTTTAGGAATGGAAGAACTCCCTCAAATATCCTCCCACTCTGACTGAAATCTGGTCATATGTTTAATGTCATGGTTTAAGTATTCATCAGTGAAACACATCTGATTTTAATCTGGTGTTTAGATGCACAAAGCTCAAAGGTTGAATAAGTGTTGATCATTTGAAGCACGCGCAACCCAGCACTCTCTCTGAAATGAATGGCAGTGGGTGCAGGTGTGCAACTGAGTATGCATGCAGTTCCTGGTGATTTTAGCTTGAATTATGAAGATTAGTGGTGCACCTAATCAATGGTGTGTTTCCTGTGTGATACAACAGTACTTGCAAGTGCTTAGTATTGGAAAAAAGAACCCTTTCGTATATTTTGCAGGAATTTGGGTGATGGTTGAACACCACTCATTTCCAAGATGCTGTATTTTCCCTGTTTGTTACAATTCGGTGCTGGGATGAGGAGTTGTATGAAAACCAGGGGCCAGTTTTCACCTGTGTGCCGCAACTCCATGGGCAAAACACATCAAAATACACCCTATTTCTCTCCAAAATAGCAGAGGGGAAATGGAAGAAAATAAAGGGGAAAGGGTTCCGAATGGGGTTGCTCAGAGGTTTCTTGAGGTTTGCGTACCTTTGAGAGCAGTTTTGGGGCAAAGTTCAACCAAAGATGGTGCCCAAAATATTAACAATTTGAGGGGGTCAGGGAGCTTTTAGGGACTGGTGCAGGGGTTCAGGGTCCACAAAAATGGCAACCAAGGGTTATATGCAGTCCACAGGCAGCACATGTCCATCTCTGATTCAGTGGTCTGGGCATTGGGGGGAATACTTCTTGCCCACCAGCAACCAACATCTTTTATAATTAAGAGTCTGTGTGCTGGACTTAGAGACACCTCCCAATTCCTCCCTAGAGTCAGCCTTTCTCCTACCTCCTCAGCATATGGCAGGGACTACTGTTTGATGAACAGAAAGAGAATTCACAGATAGGTACCTTATTTTCCTGCGTATAAGACTACTTTTTTACCT